AAAAAAGAAAGCAGCGTACCTTTCCCTGCCTTCTGCGATCGTTCAGACCAATTTCCAGGAATGGTGAGCCTGTTACGAAAGCGAGGCAAAACAGTCGCACTCGTGCCTTTTGATCGGACAGGACACCATCTTTATCTACGTAAGCGGAGTATTCATCGTAGCAGTGAATCTGTAAAATTAGAGCTTCCAGCGTTAAAAAGGCCAATAAAAGGATGAAAAACACGACACGAAATATGCTGAGAAATTTTTGAGGTACTTTCGTGCAAAGTACTTGCCATCACAAAATTTAACAAATGTTCTTTAGCATCATCGTGGCGAATGACAACATACGAAAAGGCTAATAACAGAACGAAAGATTGGTTTGGCCTCTTTTTTCTCGAACTTGGATTTTGCATTCAACACTTTCCAAGAACGAACACCTACGATGGTGCAAATTTAACGCTACAGTTTTGAGTGAACAAACTATACTACAGCCAAATATGTGGAAGGAATATAACCGCCACGGGCAATGCTTAATAAGAATTTTTTCTCATTTCTAGCCACCAAAAATACAGGAAGTATATTTATGAATGTCCAACTGGAGAATATATGACGAATGGGAGATTGGTAAGGATTCTGGATTACAATTCTTTCCGATTCCTCATGTGGAATCTTGAATTTTGTTTTCAAAATCAATCAGTGTGGTCCGAAATTTGTGTATATATTAAAATTACAGAACTTGCTTTGCTCTATCGAATGGCCCCCGAAAACTAATTTGAAAAGACTAGAAACTTATACCGTAGAATATCAGATTTGAAAAAAAATGAAAAGATAGCACTGTAATTTCCATAATCTGCAAGCAAGATTAGCGCTCACTGATGCTAATAAGCGAGAAACATCAACCAGATTAAGGAACACAAAGTCCCATTGCGAGATGAGTGCTTACCTGTACTTCATCCTGCTTATAAACCGGCTTTGTGTCTCTTTTCGCTGGACATTTGAAGAGCACATCCTCTATCGTGGACACAAACGACTGCAGTTCAGTGGAGGTTAGCGAGCCGAACTTCAGCAGTACTGTACATTGCGCCGTATGCTCCAACGGCAGTCCGTACTTGGTGATGTGACCATCCACCAAACGCGAGATTTGCCCTAAAATCGGATATATTTTATGCATGTGCCTGGTGCCGAATGTGCCAAATGCTTACCTGGTCGAATGCCAACTTTTTCTTTGTAAAGCACATATTGCAGTTTAACTGTATGAATTTTGCCATAAACATCGTAAGCTTGTAGCGTAGTGTCTGACAACGAATAAGTGGCTTGTAGCAAAAGTTCCTGAAAAATTCTTGTCTTATTTTTTACAAAAACATCAAGAACTTTTTAGCACTTGGTTAGTTAGAAAATACAGATTTGTACGGTACCGACAGAATACTCTCAGATTGAGCCGATACAGTACAGAAACAAATTTGCATAGTCTACAGTAAATCGAAGAGCTACAATCTTATCGAATTCATTCACAAAGCATGGCGAAAACGGTGATATGCAGAAGGGTTAGCTTGCTTGCACTTTCTCACAAAAGAATTTTCAATCTCACGAATTCACACATTTTACAAGGAATTTTGAAGCTACCACTGGCTCCAAAACGGTTTTACGAAGAACTGCTTCTTTTAGACTAAATCTGATGTTAGCAGATAAGCGCTGAAAAATTAAAAAAAATTCCGATGCACAAGTATCGGGAAATGAGATTGATGGGTTGAACAAGAATTCCAAAAGAAATCTGGAACAGTAAGGGGAAACTCAAACAACAAGAAACTAATTAAAAACGGCAATGGCAAAATAAAAGCAAAAAATGAAAAAATTGATTTGAGGTGCAACTTTTTGTGTGGCTCGGAGCAGTTTTGATTGAAGGTAGACAGAAAAATTTTACTCTGAGCAAAAAAGTTCATAAGCTTTGTGTTATACCTGAATGGGTCTATTGTCTGTTTTTGCATTGTATACAAGCAGTGTATTGCCTTG